CCCTCTGGCGGTATTTTTTTTTTTTTTTCAAGAAAGCAAAAGGGCCAGTGCTGTGCTTGGCAAATAACAGGTGAATAACAATAACAATAAACACTAGCTATGGTTCGAGCAACACTAATTAGTAATTTAGGGAGGAGAGAGTGGGCCTGGAGAGTCTGAAGAGTGAGAAAAGAAGCTTTTCTGGTTCACCCTTCCAGGATCTAAAATCCAGCATAGAGTGAGCCAGGTCCCGCTGGAGTTCTGAGCAGGCCTCGGGGACCTCCTGATACCAGGGGTAGGAATTAGCATTCATTTAGTGGCTACCAACAGTTGTCAGCACCTCGTAAGTTCCAGGCACTCTTCTGGCGCCTCACGCTCATGGTCCTCTCTGACTCCCAGGCCAGGGACTGTTATTAATATCCCCATTTTACAGACGAGACAAGACTCAGAGCCTACAGTCACAGAGGTGGCCTCCTGGACACCCCCTACCAGGCGACCTTTGGCCATTCCTGGTGATGTGGAGACGGGTGGGGCAGTTCTGCCCCACGTGCAGTTGGGGCGGGAGGAGGACAGGGAACTCAATCCCAGCCTGCTCCCCGCCTTCCACTACCACAAAGCCACCCGCCTGGAGGTGACTTCCCAGCCAACAGCTGTAGGGGTGGGAGGGCGGCCCGGGCACGGACAGTGCTGGCCGAGGACAGTGCGGCGCACTTTACTGCGGCTGTCTGGCTCCGTCCCTGAACAGAACAAGGCATGAGGTGTACTCTGGACCCCGGCTCCAGTCACGGCCCTGCCTGGAGGAGGCTGCTGCTAACAGGTACTAAGAGACTGGCTTCATCTCGGGTTGGGGACAAGAAAGGTACACTCCCTAGGAACCAGCAGTTAGCGTAATGGCTATGTCACTGGACTCCCACGTAGTCGACCGCGGTTTGCGTCCCAGACCTGGTGGCTTAAAAAACTCACGCCGGGCGCATATGCGTACGTGCCCAAGATCCCGAGAGGAGAACGGAGGAGAAGGGATTGCGGCGTGGCCATCCCCCCCTGGGGGATGATTTCTCGCTTTCTGTCTCTCTGTCTCTCTCTGTCTGTCTGGCAAGCACATGCGCCCTATAGCGAAAACCTCTCCAAAAAAAAAAAATAATAAGAATTAAATTTTAAAAAAAAACCTCTAATTTTGGGTAATTTTAGATCCTCACATCCACCCAGTTTTTGTTGTTGTTGTTTTGTCTTTAAGTTTGTTTGAGTGAAGGAAGCAGTGTGTGTGCAAGAGAGGAGAGAAAGAGAGAGAATCTCCAAGAGGGTCTTTTTGTGTTTTGTTTGTTTGTTTGTTTTGAGAAGTTTTTTGCTATAGGGCACATGCGCTCGCCAGAAAGAGACAGAGAGACAGAAAGCGCCCACCAGAAAGACAGAGAGAAACAGAGAGAGAGAAAGCGAGAAATCACCCCCCAGGGAGGATGGCCATGCCACAATCCCTTCTCCTCCATTCTCCTCTCGGGATCTTGGGCACACACGCATACGCGCCTGGCGTGAGTTTAAGCCACCTAGTCTGGGACTCGAACCGTGGTCGATTACATGGGAGTCCAGCGACATAGCCATTACGCTAACTACTGGTCCCTCCAAGATGGTCTTGATGAGGTGATCTGCACCCCACTCCCTTAGCCTTAGCCAGCCCTGGATCATGAGCAAGCACATACCCTGAGAGCTCAGAGAGGCCTCTGGTCTTGAACTGGGAACCTTTCCATGTGAGTCTGCCCGCATCACCATCTGGCCCCTCTACCCAGTCGAAGGCCTCATGCCCAGGGCCATGGGCAGAGGGAGGAAGATAAGCAAATGGGATGGGGCCGTTTCTGCTTGGCTCTGTAAGTTTACGGTGGAGACAGGGCCTGCTGTGTGCTGTCGCTGGATTTGAATTTCAAGGGGTGGAGGTACATTGGAGAATGTGTCCCCCCAGTACTGGACAGTGTCCCCAAGGCCTTCCTGGAGTGGGAGCTGGAAGCTCACTGCCACCTCCCACATCCCTCCAGGCTCTTCTGCCAAGGTGCCCGGTCACAAGACTCGTTGGTCACCTTCTCCAGGAAGGGTGTCAGCCAGGGCTTCCCCTTCAGAGGCATCTGCCACCGCCTCGGGGACACGGTGGACAGCTTTGTCTTATCAGTCCCGGGAGGTGCAGGCCATTTCTACCCCAGCCCTCTATTTCATCTGCCCCCCTGGGCCACATCGACCCCATCTCTCACAGAGACTGTCGTGGGTCTAAGTGTCACGTCCCCGCCACACTCCAAGGATGGCTTCCTCGTGGAACACCTCCTCACCCTCTCCGCTGGCTCTCGGCCTCCTTTCCCTCAGCCGGGCAGCCTGGCAGAACTGTGATGGGGAACCCCTTTTGCTAGACTTCTGTTGGGAATATGGGGTTCCTAGCACCTGTTTTGTCTTTGACCTTTTTTTTTTTAGAGCTTGCCAGATGGAGGAAGGAATTCCACCGTTAGGACCATAGGTGATGCCAGAACTTACTTTATAGGCGCATGCTGAATTAGAATCACATTAAGAAGAAAAAGCCTAACTATCAGGAAAGATTGAATCACTAATTACTGGCACTGAGTACACAGATGAGGTCCCCAAGAAACTCTGGTCAATCGAGTGACAAAACAGCAACTAGATTTTTGAAAGTGGTTTGCAAAGGGTTTACAGTTGACGTGTTTAGGACCCATTGTTCAGAGGAAAACAAAGTGAAAAAGGAACACACCATGTAATTTCAACTCTAAATGCAAAATACTGTCTTGCTAATGGCAGGTGCCTGGGCACGGGCCTGGCGGATGGGCGGCAGGCTCAGGGTGGAGGTCAAAAGGCAGTTTGACTTCCTATGGCCCTAAATCTTCTTTCTAAGGAAGAAATTTTTAATCATGAATGTGATTAAAAGTTCATTTAAAAAATTATGAATAAAACCCTCAAAAGAAATTTTGCCCTGCCCTAAAATGGTTACCTTTGAGTATTAGAATTAAGGCTTTATTTATTTATATATTTTTGGAGAGGTTTTTGCCATAGGGCACATGTGCTTGCCAGACAGACAGAGACAGAGAGACAGAAAGTGAGAAATCATCCCCCAGGGGGGATGGCCACGCCACAATCCCTTCTCCTCCATTCTCCTCTCGGGATCTTGGGCACGCATGCACACATGCCCGGCATGAGTTTAAGCCACCAGGTGTAGGACTCGAACCGCGGTCAACTACATGGGAGTCCAGCGACATAGCCATTACGCTAACTGCTAGTCCCCAGAATTAAGGGCTTTTCAAATTCATATTTACTTTACTTCCAAAGTTATTCTGTAATGAAGACCATGTGTTGTTTTGTGACACTTTTTAAGACTTGCTGAATTAATTCTACTTTTTGTGTAAGAGAAATGGAAACAATAAGCACACACACACACACAAAAATGTGTCCAAAAGGTAGTATTTATCTCCGGGTGTCTAAGTTTTATGCTATGAAAATGTGCCGCTCTTAATTTTAAGATAATTGTTTCTGTCAACTGATGAACAGATAAACAAAATGTGGTCTCTCCATACAATGGAATGTTATTTGGCAATAAAGAGGAATCAAGTAGGGCCAGCTGGTAGCTGGGTGGTTAGGCCAGCTTTGTCATTCCAGTGCTGAACCCAGCAGCTTGAAAAACACCTACGGGGCCAGCTGGTGGCATGGTGGTTAAGGCGCTGGACTCCCATATAGTGAACCGAAGTTCGAATCCCAGATCTGGCAGCTTGCTTTCTCACTGTCCCTCTTTTTCTCTCACTCTCTCTCTGATGAGTGTATGTGCTCTATAGCAAATTAAAAATAGTAATAATTAATAAAATTAAATAACTAATTCGTAAACACACACACACTTGAGTGCACGCAAATGTGTGCCCAAAATTCCAAGAGGAGAATGGAGGAGAAGGGATGGCAGCATGGCCGTCCTTCCGGGGGTGATTTCTCTCTCTCTTTCTCTCTCTCTCTCGCTCTCTTGCTAGTGTGCATGCCCTATAGCAAATAAAAATTAAAAAGAAAGAAAAGGGAATCAAGTGCTGACACATGCTACCTGTGAACCATGAAAGCACACTAGGTGAAAAAGGCCAGACACGAAGAACCACCTGCCGGGCGAGTCTATGTAAATGAAGTGTCCAGAATAAGCAAATCTTCAGACAGGAAGTGGCCGCGGGCAGGGGGCAGCGGGTAGGATGTGATGGCCAGGTTGCCCTCTGCGGGGGTTGAACCAGCAGCACGTGGCAGCTCCTGCTGTCTTCAGCATCACCACCGCAGCAAGTCATCACACTTCTGGATCTTTGCCATTCTGACGGGTGAGAAGTGTTATTTCAGCTTGCTTAAATGGACGTTTCTCTTACTGAAATGGAGCTGAGTATTTTTCCCATGTTAAGAGCCATTGAATTTTCTCTTCTATGAAGCACCTCGTATCTTTTGTGTATTTTTCTCTTAGGTTGCTGATATTTTTCTTGTGGGTTTCTAGGAGCTTTATATAAATGAGTGAAATGAGTTGATATCAGTTACAAATCTTTTTAATTATTTATTTTTTTAATATGTCACTGCTCTTTTGACTTTGTGAGTAGTGGGGCTTTTTTTTTAACCTTGTAGAAGTTTCTTTTTACTCTTTTTTTTTTTAAATTAATTTATTTACATTTAATCGCATCTTTACAGTGTACAACATTTCTTTTTCCGGCACAAATACTATGCATGTCAGTCAAGCCAAAGATATTACTCTATAAGTTATCAGCAAGTAGCTTCTCATATTTTCTCAATTAAGCATACTTTTCCTTTTCTCCTTCCCCCCTCCCTTCCATACTAAACATTTTTCCATATTTTTTTAATTTTTTTTTTTTTGGAGAGGTTTCTATAGGGCACGTGTGCTCGCCAGAAAGACAGAGAGAGACACAGAGACAGAAAGCAAGAAATCACCCCCCAGGGGACCAGCAGTTAGCGTAATGGCTGTCGCTGGACTCCCACGTAGTCGACCACAGTTCATGTCCCGGACCTGGTGGCTTAAAACTCACGCCGGGCGCGTGTGTGTACGTGCCCAAGATCCCGAGAGGAGAATGGAGGAGAAGGGATTGCAGCGTGGCCATCCCCCCTGGGGGGTAATTTCTCGCTTTCTGTCTCTCTGTCTCTCTCTGTCTGGCGAGCGCACATGCCCTATAGCAAAAACCTCTCCAAAAACAATAAATAAATAAGAAAGAAATCAGGGATATATAAATATAAATAAGGGATATATAAATATATATAAATAAGGGATATATAAATAAATAAATAAATAAATAAATAAATAAATAAATAAATCAGGGATATATAAATATATAAATAGGGATATATGTATGTATATATATATATCCCTATTTCTGACCCTCTGTCCTTTCCCACCCTCTTCTCACACTATCTCTGGTGTCTACAGTTGTCTTCCATTCCTTTCCTCCCCACATTGTATTGATCACACAATTTCTTAAATAATCTAACTACTTT